ATTTCTCTCACTTTACTGTGATAATAGGATCAAATTGATACAATTATGGCTTTCAACTTCGCTAATCATGATGCAATCACTTACCAAGGAAATATGCTAATCCAAGTGTGTTTGCGGTAACCCGGTAGCAGACACTAAAAATTCTAATGTGGCACTAGAGTGCACTTAACTTCAATAACTTATTGATTCTCTTACAATAGTAATTTGTATATGAATAACAGTAATTTATCTCGACGGATCGGCGTACGCCTGCTAATGCCCTACTCTCTAATCTGGAGATATGAACTAATTATCATCACAATCGCTAGCAAATACAAACAACTGCATTGAAAAAGAGCTCAGCAGCAGGTACCTAGAGTTACTAGGGCTGAATAAAAACATGCCAAACTATGTCAAAGTGGATTGCTTCTACTCCAACTTGTTGTCCATGAGCTTATATTCCAAATTGAGCTGATGCCATTCCATCACCTTTTCCTGCCTCGAATAGTTTAGCTATCCGATTCCGTGTTCGTATAAGCCTTACTAGGTCAAATGCTGTACTACGCTTTGCTCTTACGCTCATTTGCTCTTTTGCTACTCGTATTGAATAAAGGGAATCCATTGAAAGCGACAGCATTAGTCATTTCTTGAGTGCCAATGAGATCATCCTAAGTTAAAAGAAGCAATCTATCTAAATCTCAAGCAGTCAATCTATCAAGCCTTTCTTGTAGGCCTGCTTGATTGCCATCATGGTTAGCAAAGGGAATCAACCCATTGCAACGGGAAGCTATCAGACATTGCTTACTTGTCTATTGCATTCCAGTATCATGAATAAAGGGAATCCATTGAAAGCGACAGCATTAGTCATTTCTTGTGTGTCAATTAGATCATCCTAAGTTAAAAGAAGCAATCTATTTCAATCTCAAGCAGCCAATCTATCAAGCCTTTCTTGTAGGCCTGCTTGATTGCCATCATGGTTAGCAAAGGGAATCAACCCATTGCAACGGGAAGCTATCAGACATTGCTTACTTGTCTATTGCATTCCAGTATCATGAATAAAGGGAATCCATTGAAAGCGACAGTATCAGTCATTTCTTGTGTGTCAATGAGATCATCCTAAGTTAAAAGAGGCAATCTATTTCAATCTCAAGCAGCCAATCTATCAAGCCTTTCTTGTAGGCCTGCTTGATTGCCATCATGGTTAGCAAAGGGAATCAACCTATTGGAAGGGGAAGCTATCAGACATTGCTTACTTGTCTATTGCATTCCAGTATCATGAATAAAGGGAATCCATTGAAAGCGACAGTATCAGTCATTTCTTGTGTGTCAATGAGATCATCCTAAGTTAAAAGAGGCAATCTATTTCAATCTCAAGCAGCCAATCTATCAAGCCTTTCTTGTAGGCCTGCTTGATTGCCATCATGGTTAGCAAAGGGAATCAACCTATTGGAAGGGGAAGCTATCAGACATTGCTTACTTGTCTATTGCATTCCAGTAGCATGAATAAAGGAAATCCATTCAAATCTGAAGCTATTCCACATTGCTTGTACTGTATATCGCTTAAATTAGAGTATTATCATGACAATCTTTCCCATTTTGCAAGATTGGAGCATTAATGTGCATGGAGAAGAAGTCAAACCTGCATGCAAGATTTCAAAAATCCTTGCTAGTCCTCCGACTGGTATGCCGGACTTTCCAATACTGTAGTGTCTTTGTATAGGGATTTGTCCCTAAATACAACACCATATAGCGTACAGTATAAGAGGAGGAGAGAGCGTTTTAGGGGAAGTTGTTGGTGCAAGATTATCCATAGCTTGACTTAGTGTACTACCCGTGACAGACCTAAAATGTAATCGATCCGTATGCGATCGACTCGTAGTTAAAAGACAACCTAGGAGCATATTGGAAGAGGCAGAATTGGACATCGATTGCAATTAATCCATTTACTGGATGCTCTTGAGCTTCTTGTAGTCTTTCATCCTTCCTTCATTCGACAGCTTAGCATTAAGGAAAATCTTGCAGACTATGACCAATCAGTATTACTTGGCAATTGTTGGACGCCATGACAATCCACTCTTTGAGATTGAATTGTCGGCTACTAAAGGTGGCGATGT